GACACAATTATGCTTTATAGAAAACCTAAATGTGTTTTAGAGTAATAAAATGTTTACCTCTTCATTGTAAGCTGCCCCAAGGTAAGTTTGCATTTAAAATAAAAATATATTAGAATATTAGATGGAAATGAATAATTATTCAATTCTTTAAAATGGACTTGAATATAAGTAAACATAAACAACTCTCACTAAGGTCCCTAATGACCTCCATACACTAAGTTCAAAAGACATTTTCGTCCTTTTCTTATCTTCTTTGTTCTTTCTTGCACCTTTTGCAAGATGACTCATTCTTTTTTGAAGAATACCCCCCTCCCCTTGATTCTGTGATATTATCACCTCCTACCACTGAAAGCTAGGTTCATCTTCCTCTACCTAGTCATTAAACATGGGATTTTCCCAAAGCTGTGTCCAGGTTTTTTCCTCTTCTTACATTACTCCTTCTCTCCAGGTGATCTCATATAGGAGCTTCCCAAAGTTTTTCACATGGTGGTACACAGAGGAAAATGACAATATTTTTATGGTTACACAGAACTGCAAGCCACTGGCCTGAGGTTTTAATCAACATCTTAGCATGTATGTTCCACTCTGATACATCCCATGGCAAACAAGTGGGGTCCTGGAAATCTATGAAACAACATCCATATATTTAGCTATGACCTGTGTGCAAATAGCATGCAATTTTATATTTTAAGCCCAGGCTTTATTTCCTAGCCCTACACCTGTAGATCCGATTGCCACATCTTTTCTTGGATTTTGAAAATGTCTGAAATGCATTATGTCTAAAACTAAGTTTATGATCTGTGTTCCACAAAACTTTGTCCTCCTCTGGTGCTCTCTTAATGTAGGTAATCAACACCATGAAGCTGTAAAGCCAGAATTCTAGGAGATATCCTTGCCACCTTTCCTGCACTCCCGCATGCAATCCATTGTCAAGCCCTATTCAGTCCACCAGGAGGGAAAATCATCCCTCATCTCCCCATCTCTACCACCACCTGAGTCCAAGCTACCATCACAGTTTACAGAATTTTCCCAAATTATTAGAGTAGCCGAGGAAGTAATCTATCCCTATCTACTCTAGTCAATCCTCTAAATCATTCTCTACTCAATAGAGTGATTTAAAAATAATAATAATAAAGATTTAATTCAGTCATCCCTTTGCTTAAGGCAAAATTCCTTAACATAACCAACAATGCCCTAAATAGACTAACTCCTATTCAATGTCTGGGTCATTGGCTGTTGCAGAACAAATCACCCAAAATCTTAGTAGCTTAAAATAACACTTTAATATTAATGTTCATGATTCTGTGGGTTGGTCAGTCTCAGTAGAGTGGTTATCACCTGGAGTCTCTTATTCAGTTGCAGTAAGAATGTAGCTTGGGATGGAGTCATCTGAAGGCTCAACTTGGCTGGGTATCCAAGATGGTATCTTCCTTCACATGTCTAAGGACTGGTCAGGCATCTTTCTCTCTCTGTAGCCTCTCCATAAGATTAGTTGCAGAACCCTTAAAGCATGGCAGTCTCAGGGTGTTCCACTTCTTACATGACAAGTTATTTTCCCCAGACTGTACTTTTGTAAGAGACTGAGACAAAAGCTGTAAGACCTATAAGACCTATTCTGGCCTAGCCTCTGAAGTCATTCATTGTATTTTCTACCTTATTCTAGAGGTCAAAATCAAGTCATGGGGTCAGCCTAGATTCAAGGAGAGGAACTACGAAATGGTTTGCATATCAGAAGACATAGTTTTTTGAAGGAGGAAGAGTCTTTGGAGACTATCAACCACAAACAACTATGGCTCCCATCCCATTTTGCATCACATTTCCTGCTGCTGTTTCCCCTTTAGGCACATTGGTCTGCCTTAAGTTCCTTTTACTTGCCATTCTCCATCCTGCTAAAGGCTTTGCCCATTCCGCTTTCATTGCCTAGAATGTTCTTCCAATCGCCCTTTTGCCAAGTTAACTGCTATTCAACTTTCAGATCTCAATCAAGCCTCAGGAAAGCCTTTTCTAAGTTCACTATCCAGGTTAAATCTTAAGTTATATTCTCACTGTACTGCATCCATTTCCAGCACTGTCCTCACCCCTGCTGCATTTTGCATTTGTTTGTGTGATTAAATAATTTATGTGTCAATATCCCCTACTACACTGGAAGAGAAGCCATGTCTGCTTTTCCCCTTCTACCACAGAGCTTAGCTGAACTCAAATATGTATTTGCTGAATGAATGAAATAAATAAACTAAGTAAATCAATCTGTCTGACTCTGTATAACCAATTATTTTCCCCTTTATGAATTATAGTGAAGCATATAATCCCATTCCTGTATTCAATACATAATTAGATAACCCCAAATATAAGCCATTTTCACAGAGGAAATCTCATACACTCAAAAGTCATATTCTTTTGCCAAAAATTAGCAGATATATAAAGGAGTCAATTAATACATTTAAGGTATGTAAATTTTATGGTAGTTCTTCCAATCTCTTTTCAAATAAGCCTAAAATTGTCTTGGAGTTTAATTTCTTTTTTTTTTTTTTTGGAGTTAGAATCTCACTCTGTCGCCCAGGATGGAGTGCAGGGCCACGCTCAATGCCAACCCAACATTGACCTGCTGGGCTCAGGCAATCCCTCCGCTTCGGCCTTCCAAGTATCCAGAACTACGTGCGCTACCATGCCTGGCTAATTTTTTTATTTATTGTAGAGATGAGGTCTCATTAAGTTGCCAGGGCTGTTCTTGAACCCAAAGTGCTGGGATTACAGACTTAAGCCACGGCTGAGTTTAATTTCTATTTCTAAACAAAAGCTAGCAAGTATACCAAATGAGACACCCTTTGAAATTACCAAATGAAAGAGGTGATTTCTTACTCTGCAGAAATCTGTACTGACAACAGAGACCACTAGATTATTTCATTTAGAAGCCCAGATGGGTTGTTACATACTACACACAACTTTTCTTGCGCTAAAATCAGAGGTACAATACTAGCTTCTCCTCACTACATAATTAATAATCTGCCTAGAATTTAATACTCCATCAACTTTCAACCTGAAATGGTCTATTTCATTCTATGGGTTGAAACTAACATTCCTGTTCTTTAGAAGGTAACGCAAAAGCAAAAGTTTGGATTGGAGAAAATATTCACTAGTTATGGCTCTGAACATCTTTTAAAAAAAATAAAGATAAAAGTCTGAGTAATTAGAAATGGTATCATAAACTAAATTTCATAATCAGAAAATACATTCTATTTCTGATCTCTTGAATTCCAACTGTCAACTCTAATTGTTTTCAACTACTAAAAAATCTACTAAAGACATCTATAAGAAGGTCCATGAGTGTGACCATTTTTAAAGAATAATTTAGCCGCTAGTAGACTAAAACTACAAAAATGAGGATCCAAGACAGAGGGCATGAAAATAGAATACAGGACAATAACTTAAATCCAAACTCCAGCTCTTAATAAATTATCAAATATTGTCATACAAGGCTGATTTGATGAAGTTGAAATATTAATTAATGAATGTTTAAGCCTATTCTATATCATACAATTTAGGTAACAGTAAAATATTAGTATCAAGTTGGGCCACTAAAGGAAATTCTTCTACCTGGTGTCCTCTGATACAAGATTAATGCTGACCAACATGCATGATCCATGGACTTTCTGTGTGTGAGTCTCTGTTCCATTTTGTACCTTATTTCTCAAGTCATCAATCACACTGAATTATTCACAGCTAACCATCTTTTTCCTTTGTTCTGCTCCTTGTTAAGGTGTGAATCAAAATCTGATAGCTGATTTTCAAGTGATGTGTTAAATAGAATGTAAATACTAGGCAAGTTCAACCAGCTCTGTAGCAGATCCTATTCCAGCCTTGAACTTAGAAAAGTTGTGTTACAAGAAACATGACCTGCTTATATTTTCAAAAGCATTAACTTTTGAAAACCACCTTGATTTTCAAACTTTGCTCACATTCAGCCAAAAAAGGAGAGAGATGCACTTAAGCTACCTTTGTAAATGGCATTTTGACCAATCTTTTCACTACCCTAAGTGGTTTTTTAAGGTCTTGCCTTTTATTTTTTCTAACTCCTGACTCCTCGATTTGAAAGCTTAGAATAAAGATAGATCTTTTTTATAACTCCTGACTCCTCGATTTGAAAGCTTAGAATAAAGATAGATCTTTTTTAAAAAGTGTATAGTTTGGTAAATAGATCCTGCCTTCTTTCTTGAGACCCATTGCCATTAACCTTCTCTGATTCTATCTCGAGAAAATACATACACACACACACACACACACACACACACACACACACACACACACACACGAGTATATTCAGTTTTAACCTGGGTTACTTTTCAGAAGTTAATTTCAATCTCACCAGATATGCGTACAAAATGTTCCTTTCCATCAGAAGTAAGGTCCTTCCTTCTCACTCACAATTAAAGCTAGCATATACTCCTTACAAGTAGGAGTAGTAAGTAAAGGCAGAATTTGCAGACATATTAGGAACATTGATTAACTGTATTTGTTTTGGTAACGCAATTCCCTGATTGAACAGAGCACTGGACAATGAATGGTAAAAGATACGTATTTTTCGAGCTAAAGCCCTTTCAAGGACAGATGCCAAGGTGAGCAATACTCTTGGTTCCTCAGCAACGGGAGAGGATTTGTGAATGATTGTGAAAGATTTGCACCACCTCCCTGCAGTGCTTAGGGGCTGCTCTGAAAACAGCAAAGCACAGCTTGGGAGATTCCTGTCACATCCTGTAGCCCTGGGTAAGAAGTGGTGAAATACAAACACACACACATATACACACACCCCCACCACCACCGTCACCCCATCACCAGAAAAGCCCTGCAGAGGAACCTTCCGGCAGGCAGGCTCTGCTTGGGGGAGGCATAGTCAGCATCCATCCTCAGCCCCGGGAGAGGCTTGTCTCCACCTCTCAGCTAGAGCTCCCAGGTCTTATCCTAGGCGTATCCTTGCAAGGTAGAAACGTCTACGCTGGCCTTACCTCTGGGGCTGCTTTCCTGCAAGTACGGTGGGGCGGTGGGAGTGACATTTCCCGAGTGGGATGCTGACAGCAGAGGCGAGCGTTCGTCCACCCCATCAGCAGCCATGACTGCCGCAGCGGCGGGCCTGGGGGAGGCTAGGCCGGGGGTTGCGGCCTTGGTGGAGGTGGTGGCTAGTGCTGCTGCTACTGCCTCTGCTGCTGCTGCTGCTGCCGCCTCCGAGAGGGCCCGGGATGTGTCACAAGGCAGGAGGAGTGGGGGGAGGGGAGGGTGGGGGACCGAGAGGCGGGGGAAGGGAAGCGCGCTGGGAGGCAAGACTGGGGGCGGGGAGGGGAGAGAGAAAGAAAGAGCCAGAGGCAGGGAGGAGGGGAAGAAGTGGAGGAACAGGGGCCCAGCCAGCCTGAGAGAAAGGGAACAAAGTGGGACTGACTGGGCAACGAGAGGAAGGGACGGTGCCAAGTAACAGAAAGGGGGAAGAGGGTAAATGAGATGGAGGGGCGACAAGTCTTTTTCTGTAAGGAAAAGATGGGTAGAAAACAGCCTGAGAGGGGCTGATAGAAAAGGCCTGTGACTTGATTACAAGAGTGAACACAGATGGTGAGTGTAGCTCCTCTAGGGAGGAGGAGGGACTAACTCTGCTGTCAAACTTTGCAACAATTATATGAAGAGAACTTATTCCCAGGGATATCCGTTCCTTCTTGAGGAGTTCTTCTTTTGTATGAAATCATTTTCAACACCTGCTAAGATAAAGTAGCTTTTGCATGAGTATAGGTATTCCCTATTTTTCCTGGTTGATTTTTTTTTTAACATGATTGTTGGCATCACCTGTTCTGAACTCTAATTACAGTACCTTATTGGAACTATGCAGTCTTCCAACTTTCACAAGTTTCATTTCGCAAAAGAGGTTGCCATTTCATTTTGTTTTTTTTTACTATGTTTTCCTTCACATATAGACAGTAATGAGATTTATGAATAACATAAAACAATTAGAAACAATTTTCTTGAGATAAAGTTTTTAAATACAGAGTCTAAAAAACCTAAGCACTGGCAAAGATTTATTTATATTTTTTATTTTTTGAGTTGGAGTCTCACTCCGTTGGCCCAGGCTGGAGTGCCACGGCACATTTAAGGCCACCACAGCGTTGACCTGCTAGGCTCAGGTGTTCCTTCCGCCTCAGCCTTCCAAGTAGCTGGAACTACAGGTGCATGCCACCACACCTGGCTAATTTTTTATTTATTGTAGAGACGAGGTCTCGCCAAGTTGCCCAGGCCCATCTCAAACCCTCAGGCTCAGGCAATCCACTCTGCTTGGCCTCCCAAAGTGCAGGGATTACAAGATGAGCCACTGAGCCCTGTCCACAAAAGTTCTTTGCTTGACTAAAGTTTAGCCAGGCTTCTGAATCTTCTGCTGGGCCCATCTTAAGCCAGAATGTTGCCGCCGCCTCCTCCTGCTCCTCCTCCTCCTCCTCCTCCTCCTCCTCCTCCTCCTCCTCTTCTTCTTCTTCTTTTTTGAGTTGGAGTCTCACTCTGTCCCCAAGGCCTTGGCCTGCTGGTCTCAGGCGATCCTACCACCTCAGTCTTCCAAGTAACTGAAACTACAGGCACACTCCCCCACACCTGGCTAATTTTTTATTTATTGTAGACATAAGAGCTCACCAAGTTGCCCAGGCTGGTCTCAAACCCCTGGGCTCAAGCAATCTTGACTTAGCCTCCCAAAGTGCTGTGATTACAGGTGTGAGCCACCATGCTCGGCCAATTTTCCTTATCTCTTGTATTTCCTCTTAGTGATTTTCTATCCACTGACTGCTACACTGCTCCTTGGCTATAAATTCCTACTTGCCCATGCTGTATTCAGAGTTGAGCCTAATTACTTCTCGCCATGGCAAAGAGTCATTGCAGTGGCCTCTAAACCTATCACTAATGGCCCTCTCTATCTTCCTTACTGTGCTTCAACAAGTATCACTGAATTTTTTTTTTCTTTAAAAGCACAGTTATTGCCTTATTTTCTGTGTTTGTTTTCTTTCTTGTTTCTTTTTTAGTGGTTTGCCATATTATCCTAAGGTGGTTTACATGAATACAAAAACAAATCAAGGTTTTGAACATGTCCAAATAAAAATGCAGTAGGAAAATAGTCATGGTCTAAAATGATAATGTTCCTGCAACAATTCTTTGAGTCACTGAAAAAGCATTTATCACTCATGTACTGGGTCTACAAAGATAATTAGGACATGATCTCAGCTCTCAAGATGTCTAAGAGATGGTACACTAAAAAACAAATGGAAAATGAGGCTAGCTGTGGATTTCAATGGGCATGAGGCAAAGCAGACTTTAGACATTCGAAACTACTTCTCATGTTACATTAAGAAGGATCTTTATTTTGCTCCCTGAAGATATACTCTTTCTTCCACAAAAATCCATTTAGGTACCAGCTGGAAATCCTAAGGGAAAATCAAATAATAATATTTTCTCTTATACACCATATTTTGTAGGTTAGTAGCATCAGGATACAACATATAGATCCCCATATGATATAACCCAAGAGTATGTATAGGTCTCCAGGACCTTGGAAAGTGCAAAATCAAGATGTAGCACTCCCTGAAAAAATGCTTATAATTTACAAAATGAACAGCAATGTTTTAGAGTTGCAGCCTAGATTAAAGAAAATTATAAGAAGAGTCAAAATCTTATGACTGTAGTGCCCTATCATGTCACCTACTACACTCCATTCCGACAGTATATTTATTTTCCCATTGCCTACCCACCCTCCACGCCGAACTCACTTTATGAGGTCAGAAACCATATCTATCTTATTCATGATTATATCTCTACTATCTAGCACAATACTTGGTGCATTTATAAGCACTCAATATTTGCCAAATAAATAAACAGATGAGTGAATGAACACAGTCCCAGCATCTAACTAAAACAAATAGTTTGGCCCCCTAAAATTAAGTCTTTCAAGTTACTACAAGCAACAGTTAATTCCCACCTGTGTTCGCTAGGCTCCAACTGCATTTTCCTCCTTGTTTTTCCAGCCTCTGTATCTCTTCCAGCATTGGCCTGCCTGGTCCTAAAAACAATGTCACATACTTGGGATTTTGTGAGAGAAATACCAATTTGCTACACTTATCTATTGCTTGTACTCTCGGTACCAATTTCTGTTGGATTTATCCATTGCTTTGTACTTTTGGTACTATGTTTTTGTTTCATTTATCTATTGCTTTGTAAGAATCCACCATCCTATAACTTAATGACTCAAATATCAATGTATTGTATTCTTTTGTATAATGATGAGGGTTAACTAGGTCGTTTTCTGCCAAGGTTCACCTGCACCCACGTAGGTGGATACATTCAGTTGGTGGATCAGCTGGGTACTGAGCTCAGCTGAGATACCTGGTTAGCCGAACCTCTCCCTCCAAATGCAGTTTCATTTCAGATTTCTTCATGGCATGACCCTTCCTCATGACAGGGTTCCTGGAGGGCGAAAGCAGATGCTGCAAAGTCACATAGGTCCAAGGCTTTGGAACATGTACAAGGTTATATGTGCCACATTGTAATGGCAGAGCAAGTCACAGGACAGTGCATGTTCATGCAGGCAGAGGTATAAATTCAGTATCTTGATGAAAGGTGTGGCAAGGTCACACGAAGAGAGGCACCAGTACAGGGAGGTGTGATTCACTGGAGTGGGGTGGGGTGACAGGAAGGGTGGTAGAGGTCTCATACAGTGATTTATCACAGCTATAAACATTTCATGTAAGAAAAGCATAGAGCAAGACAAAGGAGAGTTCTTCACAAGACACTATGCTTTTGGAAAGAAGTTTAATATAAAATTCTAAAGTCCATCTTAGAAGTGTATTTTATCAAGATGCAACTTCCACTTTCTAATCCTAACTTCTCTTTCTTTCTGCCCTACAGTTAAGGAAGGCCAGTGTTGAAAATCAGATAGGATTATATTTGAATCCACTACCTCCAAGTAGTGATCTTAGTTATGCTAGTTTAATCTTTCTGCACCTCATTTGTCCAATTAGTCTATAAAACAGATAATGTTATACCTCCCTCATGGGGTAGTCATAATAATTAAATGAGAAAATGTATGGAATGTACCATCTGTGGTTGGTATGAAGATTTGCCATAAATATAAGTTTTTTTTTTAGCTGCTTTCCCTTTAAATCTATTTGAGGAAAAGCTAGGATATAGGCACCTCTAAACTAAGCTAGAAGCACAATGAGCCAAAATATGTTTGTATTTTAAACTCATTAATCCATTCACACTTACCTTAGAGATATGAGATGGGATCTCAGAGTGTGGTCTGACCGCTCAATGGAAAAACTCTAGGATGTCTCAGCAGGCCTAAGGAGGCTGTATTTAAGCATGGAAGTTCCTAGGTCTTTTAGAAATGCCCTATTAAGGGGTCTTGAGGACCTTGCTAGATCTAAGAAAATACGGATTTAGATTTCATATGAAGGATGACAAATGAATGCCCCTTAATTATATTCACATCCTGTGAAGCCAGGAAATTGGTACTTGGGGTAGGGAAACTTAAAGGGTAGGTATTCTTTAAAGCCCAATATAAACAACTTTACCTTCAGATTTCACTTACTTTCCCAGCGGAGTAATACTCCTGTGAGAATAAGGCCATGTTCAGGAATTTGAAAAAACACGTTTTGCAGAAATAATAGATGAGGGTTGAAGGCTTACCTGTAGTCACAGAGGAATCCAGGAAGGTGGACACAGCCCAGAGCTACTGTGGAGTATCCTAATTAGATGGTGCAGGAAGTTTAAGGAACAGATGTGGACTGGAGCTAGTGGCCACCAGACCGGATCTTGTTCCCCTGTATTGCCTCCAGACACTTAGGGGAAAAGAAAAGACCATATGGTTCCCTCCTGACTCAGCAGTTCTTTGCAGAGAGGCAGCATGGTAATTCTGTTGGCAATGGTGTTGCAGAAAATCTCCACAGAGCTCAAGCATCTGGTCTTGGTAGTCAAGAGTTCCATCCTTTTCTGGTCTTGCCAATTCTTCAAAACTCCATTCAAATGCCAGAGTTGGAATTAAATTCTTCTCTATTATATTTGCACAATGCTTCTTACCATGATCACGTCACTGATAGTTTTCATTCTAATTGACATATATACATGGGTAAAGACTACTTATTTCCTTTATAGCACCTAAGACAGCACCACATACGTTGTGCTTAACAAAGTTTCTTTTTTCATTGAATTTTTCTTAGATTTCTTCTTACTGTCTCAGTTTCATCAGTAAAATAAAGTTAGTTCTCCTACATCTCACAGGATACTAATAAAAATAAAATAAGATAAATACCTCCCAAAAGAAAAGAGTAGAATGCAGCAGAGTGAAATGTAAAGTTCTATAGAGCAGCGGTCCCCAACTTTTTGGCATCAGAGACC